GAATTAGAGATGCACTGTTCTATGTGAATGTAATTGGTTTAGGCTGCTGAGGGACCAGAAAAAAAGCAGGAATGATAGCAATTCATTAAGGATTAAATGGAGCTCAACTTTTAGGATAAAGAAACAGCAAAACAGACAATTTTCTGTGCCCTCTAGTGCCTACTACAACCTAGTAACTGCAGTTTTCCCTGTCACTTCTGGGTATAACTTGAGTTATTCCATACAGGCCAAAACACTGGTCTGAACTACATGCAGGCAACTCCCCATTGCTCTGTTAGCAGTCCTCTTTCATCAAATGTAACAAAGAAATAGACAGAAATATCATTCTAACTCAGACTAGTTATTTTACATGAAACAGATTTGTTCACATCTCTTAGATGACCCAACCAAGGTCAGTAAGAGAGATAATTTTTGCTTTGTGCAAGATACTAGCACATTTCAGACCTCGGTGGAACAGAGGGGAAATTCACTGTGCCTAAGAAAACCTTGCTGAGCGGACAGGTTCACAAACCCAGAATTTCCAGCCTACAAAGTCTTAAAAGTAATTCCAAAGCATTTCAGAATCAGCCTCCACCCAGCCACTCATCTGCATGGCATGTGGATCTAAGCACGGTCCTATGCGCATCACTCTGTCATCTCCCATCACCTCTCCTGTGAGTGGGACTTGTTTTCAGATGCATTTTCAGCCTTATCACATTTGCACATGCATTTGTTCTCAATTTGTTATATAAAGCTGGACCTGGAGCTCCAGCACCACCTCACAGCAGAGTTTTAACCCATTGCTGCTTTTACCCACAAGCTGCTACAATGTGTGCTACCAGTGTACTGGGGAGCAGACACGGGAGCACAAAGGCTGGGGTTGACATCACCCATTGCAGCACCCTGTTAACAGGGCAGCTGTTAGATCAGCAGGAGTGGAGAAGCTGCTTCATGTGAGCACTGCTCCGGGTTTTGCACATCCTCACTGGGAAGAGATGATGCCATCAGCCCTTGGGCTGCATGAGACCCAAACTGAGGGAGGAAAATGATGCCTTCAGCTGGCTCCTGGGTTTCCTCAGCTGCCCCTTTGTGCTTTGGCATGTGCAGAAGCAAAAGCACTGGGGGTTTTAACACCCAGGAGGCAGCACAGCCCTGCAGTATATTCTGCTGATACACTCATGTTTTCTCAATACTTGAGGAGTGGCTGAAAGACTTAATTTTTAGTCTGTTGTCAGTTTTCTGAGAACAGAAAAGCCGGCTCTAAAGCAAAATTGTCTGCTTGGGAAGCAGCAGCGGGAACAGGGATTTTCTCTGTAGCTATTACTTTCTGCACAGACTGTCGCTGCTTGCATGCAACACGAGTAATTGTTCATTCATCTCTGGGACGTGCTGCTTTGCCCTGAAGGTCAGAGGCACTGTACCGTGACATGGGTAAGTGGTATTTGTCACTGGCTGTCCCGGCTTGGGCAAATGCTGCCCATGTCCCCAGGTACTGGGATTGCTGCTACAGACTAATCTGTATTTGGGAAATACGTGGCATTTCCAGAAGAATCTTTTCTTGTCCGACTATGTTGTTAGATACTAAGGCAGGAGCCAATTGTGGCAAATTAAAAAGATTGCTGAGTTTCACTTTGAAGTCGAAGGTGCAGGAGACAAAAGAAAAACCCAACCCTAACACATCTGCACTGCGCCTGCTGTGGCTTACTCGTGCTTGGGCTGGTTCCCACTTCCCTCTTCCTAAAATAAGCTCTATTTATTTTTATCTTAATGGGTTAGGACTGCAGTGCCTAAGCAGAGCTAATGGTCTCAAGGGCATCCTTTAGGTTTAAACAGAGATTTGATTTGTTTTTATGGGGGCTTTTGGAGAGGGACAATCACTCTCTGAAGACTGCTCACAGACTTCAAACTCCTTTTAGGCAGGGCAATAAAAATCACTCAAATCACCATTCCACACTAAACCAGGAGGCCTGTCGGGCAGAAAAATGCTTTTCCCCTCCCATTAGGACCTGAAAAACACCCACCCAAAGCACCTACGCTCATCTTTGCAGAGAGAGACACTCCATTGCCATTGCCCAGTGCAATGGGGAGGCTGTTATTTCAGGCTGTCTCCAACTCCTGGGTGAACTGCAGTTAGATTGGCATTTGCTGAGTCATTTTATTTGGTTACAGTCGTTGCGGCAAGGTCAGTATCTGTAATGGTGAGACACATCAGCACTCAGAAAGCAAACAAGGGAAGATCCTTCCTTGCTGGGATGTGGTTACCCACCTTTGGGCACGCACATTTCTTACCCCAAGCACGTGTTCAGGTGATAACACAGCTAAAACTACACTTTTTACTCTGTAGGTGCTGGATGATTCACCTTCCCCTCGCCACATGAACAACAAGATGAGCACACCAGAGTGTGCTGTGCCAGAGGCATAGGCAGGGGCACAGGATCTTCGCCCAGTGCAGGTGAGGCAGCACCTCTGAGGCTGGTGTGGGGACAACAAACAGCAGCATAGGCAAGATGGCTTCACTGCTGAGGAGGGAGCACCACAACAGGCCCCAGCAGTGGGGACCCACCACCCCGTCGGATGACAGGCCCCCGTGGACATGCAAGGTGAGATCAGCCCGAGCCAGCTCCTGCACTGCGGCATTGAGCCGCCTTCCCCATGCTCACTGGTAAAAACCATGTTAGTCACGGCAGGGAGGCTGTTGCTAAAAAGCAGCACAGAAGGGACACGGTCCACTGTCTGTCTGAAATAAAATGAACTGAGAATGGAGTCTCAGGGCTGCTCTGTTTCATTGTGGACGGGCAGTTGTTTGTTTAACACAGTGTGCTGCCAAGCATGTTCTGCAGCAGAGCGTCTGGGACCCCGGGTGAGCTCAGCACAGCATTGCAGCGCACACATATTTTCCATGTGCCTGGCAGGAGCTTCCCAGCGCTGCCTCTTCCCACACCGCTGAACTAGGTCAGATGCTTGCTGCCTTCAACACGCTGTGGATCTGGGCACAAAATCACCAGTAACCACAGGCACACCTGGAATTGCCTGGCAGGACTGCTATATTTTCAAGCATCATTTCATCCCTGGCCTGTTTCACACCCATCTCAAAACCCTGGTGCTCTGGCAGAGCTGCCATGGGGCAGGTTTGGGATAAGCATAAGAGCTTTTTCTTCTCAACACTGTTAGCATCTGAGGAAACCTCTGTGGCTGCCCAGGCCAATCCAACTGCACTCTAGCAAAGCTCACAGGAAGTTCTCCTCTGGTTTCATAAGAAACCTGGGGCAAGACCTGTGCACATGCAACGCCTTGAGCCTTTTGGCTGACTCCAGCCCCACACACCAATGGAAGAGCTTCTCTAAGAGAACCAGCTTCCTACAAACCTTATAGAAACAGGCAAACAGCGAGAATTCATACCTGACTGATCACCAGAGCTGCTCCAGGGGACAACAGTTCTCGGAGCCTGTGCCTGGGGTGTCCCCATAAGTGCTCACCCCAGTGCCAATGGGCAGTGGGCCTGGAGACAGCTCCCACAGGCACACCAGAGCTCTGCAGCCATATGGCAGCATTTCTGAAACAGCCCTTATCCCAGTGAGATTTAAGGTGATGATTGTGTGGGTTTGGAGAGGGGAGTTGTTCAATGGCACTGAACTGCTGTGGGACCATCCGCACAGCACAGAAACAGCCCTATGCTTCTTTGCCCAATGTTCCCACCCCTCCCAGGAGCAGCTGAACTGATGACAGCTCACAAACAAGCCGTATGTGTACTTCATTTTCACTTTATATCCATTCCCACCATGTTCTGACAGCAAGTGCAGACAAAAGCTTAAAAAACCCCACAACTCCGATAAGGATGAATTCTGGCAGAGTAAGGAATGATACTTCCAGCGTTCTCCCAGCCAGCTGATATCTGCACTGAACAGAAAACACTCCCTGGCTGGAGAGCAGCAGGGCAGGATCTGGAGTGCTGCCACCAAGCACACATCCATCCCAAGTCCTGCACAGGATCCTGGCTGGGCAGAGCAGGATCCACACACCCACAACTGGCACTCACAGGCTGCAGCCAGGAGCACCAGTGCCCTGCTCTGTGTGGGTGATGATGGCCCCAGGGCTATGGCTGCCCTCCCAGCAGGATGACAGGTCCCCCATCACCTCTCATGCTGCCAGCCCAGGCACCCATCAGACCAGGCTGTACCTCTGCATCATCTCACAACTCCTGCCTAGGCTTTCCCCATCAGCCACTTCAAAAGACCAGTCTGATCCATATCAATGCCAGCAGCATCACAGAGCATCCTGCAAAGCTGGGAAGGAGGGAAGGGGTGGGCAGCAAACTCTTTACTCCCAGTTTGTCACTCTGCACCTCCCCAGGGAGGGAAGCACCATCAATTTTGAGAGTTGAAAGGCAAACCTTTCCAACCCATTTTAAAACACATTTAAACCCAAAATCTGGGTTAATGGGTTGGTATAAGCTGGGATATCAACACCATGACTTGCTGCAGCAGAGAAACAAGGGGATGGGTATTTACTGCAACTCAACACTGTGTTAGCAGAGCTGAAGTTGCAGTCACCGTTTCTGGTTTTACTGCCTTACCTCAAGCAACTGCTAGGGGATTTGTAATTACTTTGCAAGCTTAAAACTAAATTCCATCCCTTTCCAAAGACAGAAGCATTCCTGCCACCCCTGTGGCAGTGTCTCCATGTTCTGTCTCGCACATCCACCGGTAGCAGTGCTGAGGGACTTTGCTCTCCAAATTCTCATTCAGAAAGATGCTCCTTCACAACCTCCTTCAATACAAGCCTGGAATGATCTGCCATTACCTGTTTGTCCAAATTGTTTTAGAAGCAAGTTTCCACCCTTAGGACAAGGTTTGCTCTCCTTGCTAATGCTTCAGGATCAAGCACCAGAGTTTCTCCCTACTTTGATGTGCATTATCCATTCTCTTATGAATTCTGCTCATGCTGGCAGCAGCTACAGCAGAGAGGGGCAGAATCAGTCAGAAATGATCCAGGGAACTCCTGAGCCTTTCACACAAGGAGAGAGAGAAAGGGAAAAGCTCCCCAAGCATCAAGAGCTTTCCAGCCATATGTGCGTAAAAATTTCTCCCTGTGCCACGTGACAGAGGAAGAGGCGCAGACCCATTACACAATAATAAAAATATGCCTTTGGCAACGTTGAGGCAGAACCTGGCGCTGCTGCAGGAAGCCCGCGACCCGCGCAAAGAGGAGTGAAACCTTAAAGAACACAGACCCAGGTCAACAACGCAGACCCCTCGAAGGACGCTGCTGCGGCCGGACGGGGCTCGGGCTCTGCAGCAAAACAGCTGCTTAAAGCCGAGTGGTTTCCAGCGCCTGTCAAGATCTCACTGAAGGGATCAGTCCTGGTGAGTAGATTCACTTTGCCTTTTGTTTCTTCCCCTCCCTCCTCTCAACCTTAACTTCGAAAACTGACCAAATAAGGTCTAGATCATTGAGCACGCAGGTTTCCAACCTGCACAGGAATGAATCCATAACAGCAACAGTTGCCACTTACAGAAGCACTCGAGGAAGAAAAGTTCCTCAGACTTTTGCTGGGAGCACCCACCCCGTACAGCCAAAACCACAGCCTCTCCCTTTGCTCTAGTTCCAGTCAGAAGGTTCTGTAACGGGGCTTTAGCTCAGGCTGAAAGGTTTGCACAGGCACCCCCAGCTGCCTAAAGCGTGGACGGTGATGCAGGTTCAGGCGCAGAATATGCATCGCTCTCCTTCGTCTCCTTTGGCATTGCTCTGTGCAATAGCAGATAACAGATCAAACTCATATCTGGTATAACTACTGCACTGACTTGTATCAGAAATTAAATACACTCATTTCAGCTGCTGTAACCAGCAGCACACCTCATTTTATCTACATCAGCCCCATGGGCCCAAGAGCTTTTGTGCTTTTACCTCAGGGACACTGCAGGGCAACCACCAGAGCCAAGAATTAGGCTCACAGGGATAGTGATTACTTTGAAGACTAATTAGGACACCTTGAGGTATGCTGGGAAATTGTTAAGTAGGAAGATCATTGTTCTGTTTAAGTCTCTTTAAGAGTACTGAAAGGAAACAGAGTAGAATGTCACAGTTACTTGTTTGCTGCTGGGTTCCCCCCTCTCAGGTTATCAGACTATCATCCTCCATTCCTCTGCACAGCAATCCCCTCACACTGTCTCCTCTCCCCTTCTACACTTCTCCTCCCCATAGACAGGCACACACCATCACTGCATGGCACAGGTTGACTTCCCTGGCCAAAAATCACCACCCAGCCACTGTGCATGCCTCCAAACCAGCCCACATCTGCAAACCCTCAGGGATTTTCCCTCTCACGGGAGTTCAGACCAGCTGACCTGTAAGCACCAGAAAGTACAACAGATCCTTTGCACTTTCATCTCGTTCTTATAGGCAAAACTGTCACAGACACACCTATTTGATGCATACACATCTATAGAATAGCCTGGCTTCTAAACTGTGAAGTGGCTCAAGAAGCAAAACTGTAGCAGGGCTGGGATGAGGGTGGTCACACCGGGGCTTGCAGGAGCCATGTGGAACAGGGATGTCCTGGTAGCCAAAGCCATGGGGCAGATATAGCAAGAGATGTGTCCCCTAGGCTCCTGCCTGTGAGGTCCCTCAGCAGCAGCAAGCATTCCCCCAGGCTGCAGTGGCCATGAGAAGCAGGAGCTGCAGGTCAGGACTGCCTCAGGGCCCAGACATTTGCAGCAGTTTGGAGCCTCTCCTCTCTGGGTGAGGTTTGATCAGCTATGATCAGAACATGAGGTCTCAGCCAAGGCCTACCTACCAACTGGGAGCTCAAGGGGTCTTTCCTCCAAGACCCTCAGAGCAACTCACTGCTGCCTGTGACCATCACGTGCCCACCACGAGCTGCATCACCTCATGAGCCCAAGGGCTGGGTCTTCTTCAGAGCAACCTAGAAAGCACTACTGCTGCTAAATACTTCAGAAGACAGTTTCAGAGTGACTCAATAGATCTTTTTAAGTATTGGGAAGAAAAGCATTGAGATCTGATCTCACTGAGGGAGAGGCACTTCACACATGAAGGCCCAAGCTCACCATAAATGCACTTGACAACCTCAAGCAATTCCTAGTGCTGCTGCAGGCTCTGCTGGGGAGAAGCTGTAGCCCTAAGCCTGGCCAGCCATGCCTATGCTGCAGACACCAAAGCTAGAGCTTATGTGAAGCCAGTCCAGCCTTTTTTCCCCATACTGAAGTCTGCGCTCAGTACCAGTGTGCTCTGCCCCAGCACTGAGGAGCTGAACACTCACATTTCAGCAGCAGTCCCTTTCCTACAGCCAGCTCCCAGTCCCTGTGCTCAGACAACGCAGGGTCTGCTCTCCTCCCCTCCACCACCAGTCAGTGCTTGTGACCCCCTGGGCATAGCACACGCTCCCACACAACAGGCACCAGTTCTAGCCAAAAAGCCTCCAAAGCCCTATTAACAAAGATATTAATTGTCATTAGAAAAGTAAGACCTCAGCTGAAAGCAGGCTGCATGGCCTCCAGTGCCAGGCCTGCCGCCCGTGCTGCCAAGAGGAAAGATGCTGATCTGTTTCCAGTTTGCTTTTTGGAGCTCATCAGTCGTTCTACATCGAGGAGCAATTTTCCTTTTAAGGTGGAACAGCATGAGGTTTGTTTTCTTTTGAAGAGATTTCTTTAAGAGGTTATTTATAGATCCTCTTGTGAATGTGACTGTACTTTGCATCCCACGCACTGCTGTGATGTGGGATGTAATGTTCTTGTGGAGCCATTAATTAACATGGACTCGGGAGCTATGTCAGAGCACGGATCCAGGTAGTCCAATACTCCCCTTCCATCCAAGTACCCGGTACTACTAACTTCCGAGCCTTGGGGCATTTTGTGTTTGCTGCTTTTATCCCATCAGGTCAATTAGCTGGGCTGTCTGAAGGTAGAAGTAGCACTTATGGTAAGAAGCATTAAGAGAAGGAGCTGCCCTCCTGCCCTGTGCTCCCTCTTGCCTGTTCTTTCTCTCCATGAAGCAGTCCCAGCTTTTTTCCAGGTTATGCTCCACAATGACATTTTTCCTTGCCACAGCTTCTCAGCGTCATCCACCTCCAGACACCTCTCACTTCCACCCCATTTGAGGTGGTTACTGGGAAGCAGAGATGCAGCTTTCCTTCGGACCTCCCCAGTCCTCAGGCATTTTAACATTTTGTTTCCCTTTTCATAACCGTCCATATTCAATTGTCCACATTAATACTGGCTGGTGAGTTTTCTCTCACAAGGCCATTAAACTGACACTTTTCACCAGCACCAAGTAAACTGAGGTATAAGGAAAGCAAAATAGCACCGAAGAACAAAATGGCTTAACAGCCAAATCCAGCCTGGTGATCTGTTCTGCATTTCCTACTCCTCTGCATGTTCTTAATTATACATATTGCAGAACTGAGGGCTCCCACTCAGCATTAGTATGTAGCACACTGCTCACTGGATGTGGAGCATGTAATGTGCATTTCCACCCCCTTCAGGAGCCAGTAGAAGGATAAGAGCGCTAAGACCAACATGAAATTTATACAATACTTAAAGAATCTCATTTCCAGTGCAGGAGTTAAACATAACACCGCTAGGGAGATGCTAAAGCCTCACAGTATTTGACGTAATGCCAGGCAGGACCTTGCCTGACCAGAAGACCACCAACAGACTGAAAGGCAGGAATATCCCAGCTCATCTTCTGTTTCATCTCTGTTTAACTCCAAATTTGCTTCAGCACCAAAGCTTGAAGAAATGTGTGAAAGGCAGTTTCCTTGCTTTGCAATCATCGCTTATATTCTGTATTTCATTAGCAGGACTTCAGGAGGTCCCTTCCTACCCAAACCATTCTATGATTCCATGTGATAAGAAAGCCCATGCAAACTGATGATTCTTGTAAAATACTTAACCCTCTACTGTCAGAGGTAGCTGTAATAAGGGAAAAAACTTAAAGGAGTCTTGTCCATCAGAGTGCACACCTCTTCACCCTGGGGTAGGAGTTGCATCAAAGCAATACCTGGCTAATTCCTTCCAAAGAAAAGAAAATCCTCTGGCTTTAGCATGGTCTTTCCTAATCAAAAAGCTATTATGCAAACAGTGAACCAGCCACAGATTCGTATGGGACAGTTTTAGGCTTTGTATCTCATTTCTCCAAGGGATACTCCACCTACAGAAGCTGAAAGAAAGAAATTAGGCCAGGGGATGCCTTTCATCACCCCACCAGCTTGTTTCCATATTCATACAGATGGAGAAGAGCCCAACTCCATCAGTCTATGGTCAGTACTCACCAGGGAGCACCAGCCCTGCTGGGAAGCTGGTGGCTGTGGCCATAACCTCCCTCACCAGCAAAGCAAGGGGAGGAGAAAATCCTCAGCCCAGGCATGGGGAGGCCTTCTGTTCTGAGGAGGGGATGGCAGGAGCACCTTTACCCATGGATAGTCAGAAACTGATACTGTATAGGGGAATGTCTTTTTTTTTACTCCATCTGTAGCCATATGCAGAAACCTTATTCTATTTTAAACATTTCTAATACCCAGAGTTTCAGATGGGTCATGCATGAAGATGGGCCCTCATCAATCAGCCTGATTTTGAGCATCTTCTCTAAGCTGCTGATGCATCTTAGCAATATTTCAAGATGCAGTGGAGTTACTCAGGAGATGCACATGAAGCATAGCTATTTGCAAACCACTCCATGCACAGACATCCAGAGGGACATTTTACTATATAATATCTGCTCTGCATCATTAGTTTCTTCATGGGAATAGCTTTATTCTAGAAATTATTTTCTATCACTATCTCCCCACCCAGGAGTGGAGTAAGACAAGCCCAGGAGGCTCAGCCCCCCACTGTGAATGAAAAAAAAGTCCTTGGCATTTGCTATACTTCAAGCCGTGGCTCACTTTACAGAGCCAGGAGACCAACACAGGCCAGTGTTTTAACAGTTACCTATCTTTCCAAGGTGAACGGTAGTAACAAAGAAAGATGGAGCTATTGCCGCCCCAGAGGCAGCTCAGCATGGTGAGAGGTTGAAAACCCACCAGTGGGGCTGGTCACGGCTGCAGGGGCAGCTGCACCCCAAAACCAAGCCAGACTCGGTGGGTGATTCAGCTGCAGGTTGTGCAGTGCCGTGCAGATGAACTGTGGTGAAGAACAGAACATTTTATGCTAGCTAAGAGGCTCAATGTGCACTGCCAGGCAAAACACAGTAAGGACTGCCTTGGCCCAAAGCCTCCACAAGCCTGCCTTCTAAATCATAGAATGGTTTGGGTTTGGAAGGGACGTTAAAGCTCATCCAGTTCCAACTCCCTGCCATGGGCAAGGACACCATCCACTAGACCAGGTAGCTCCAAGCCCCTTCCAGCCTGGCCTTGAACACTGCCAGGGATGGGGCTTAAATTCAGCCCTGCATCATGCTATGGATTTTGTGCTTGATAAGAAAACCCAGCTGCAGAGCAGGTCTCACTGAGGAGGTTTACACCAAATTATCTCCTATTTTCATGCAAGTCCTGGTGGAGGGGACACCTCCATACCCACGTGTGCTGGATAACACAACAGCCACATCCCATCTCCTTTTTACAGGCTGCGCCATGATCTCTGCTGTCCTCCTCCTGTGGACTGTGCCTTGTGTGGCAAACCACATCGTGGGGGGCTTTGCCAAGGGAGCTCTGCAGGAAGGTACCCAGCTGGCGTGCAGCCTGCCCGGCCCCCCTGGGCCACCCGGCCCCCCTGGTGCACCCGGGGCTCCAGGGACGGTCGGCAGGATGGGATTCCCAGGCAAGGATGGCAAGGACGGCAAGGATGGGGATAAAGGCGAGCACGGAGATGAAGGTAATAGAAAAGCACTTCTTAACACAAGGGTAACATGTAAAAGCAATACTATGACAGCCCAGTTAACAGCAACACATCACCCCAAATCTGAGCCCCAGCACAGACAACATCTCATAGGAAACTTCTAGAAATTTCCACTCTCCCCCCTCCAACATCTCACACTTGTCAGCTCCTGCCTGGGGGGTTCAGACTTCCATTATTTGCTGAGAGCATCTTAATTGCTGTATGCAATTCCTATTGGCTTCATTTTGTTATGAAGTGACATTTTCCCTGGTGGTCTCTGACTCCTGCTCTCAAGCAGAACAAAGTCAGGTGAAAAAAATCAAGCACTTGCTGCCCAGAGCACTCTAGCTGGGTGACAGGCACTGCTCTGACCATGCTGAATCTAAATCAAAGCAAACAATCACCCTTATTTAAGCCAACAACCCTTTAAATCCAGCCTTACAGTCAGCAAGCATCAGGATCAGCTGTGGTGAGAACACAGTGATTTCCCATTGCCACACTAGAGTGCACTCCTGATTCAGCATAGCATCAGCATGCCAAAGCTGCACCTTATTCTCTTCTCCCACCCCCAAAACTGGGAATATGGAGAACAGGTTTCCACCCACAGCTGCATTTAACTCGTCTTGCTGCAGCAGCAGCTCAAAAGATAGGGTATAACCCCCCATAATTTGTCTTATATCAGGCCACACAACAATCAGCAGTTTCAGCATCACTGTGACAGCATAACTGGCTTCCCATCTCAAGGCAGTCCCTGCACTGTATGTCCTCTGGTTCATCCTCCAGATATGCCAGGCTTTTTACTACACCTAGATGCTTTGTTGGTTTATTTTTTAACACCAGATTAATGTTAAATGTAAAAATAAAAAAAAACAAAAACAAAAACAAAAAAAATTAAAATAAAAGAGACAGGAGATGAAAGTATCCCATCTGCTCAAAGCTGGGTTCCAAAAGCTTCATAAACCTGTCCCACTCATGAAAAACCATTTAAAGCTTGTTCTTGGCTAGCTCTATAATTAATCTCCCTTTTTGCAAGTGAGCCATATAACTGAGCCAGCCTTTTGGTCCCCAAGGACAGGCTGTCCTGCTCCCAAGTCCCACTGTTATCATGCCAACTACCTACCTAACAGTCCTGACAGATGCCTCCCAGGTGGTATTTCATTGGGATTCTCACTAGCAGGGTTTTCCTCCTAAATGAAAATATACAGTTGAAATGACACAACACCTTTCCACTTGCCATATCGAGTCTTTCACTGAAAGATTTACAAGGCTATTTATCTTCTAGGTCCACAAGGCAGGACAGGAAACCCCGGCAAACCAGGCCCAAAGGGGAAAGCAGGAGCTATTGGCAAAGCAGGCCCACGAGGGCCCAAGGGTTTAAAGGGTAATCCTGGAAAAAATGGGGCCCCTGGGAAAAAAGGGCCCAAAGGGAACAAGGGTGAGACTGGACTGCCAGGACCCTGTACTTGTAATGCCAACAAAGCCAAGTCTGCCTTCTCTGTGGCAGTTTCCAAGAGCTACCCAAGGGAAAGGCTGCCCATCAAATTTGACAGGATCCTGATGAATGAGGGAGGACATTACAATGCTTCCAGTGGGAAATTTGTATGCAGCATCCCAGGTATTTACTACTTCACTTATGATATCACTTTGGCCAACAAACACTTGGCCATTGGCTTGGTCCACAACGGGCAGTACCGGATTAAGACTTTTGATGCAAACACTGGGAACCATGATGTTGCCTCCGGATCAACCATCCTTTCTTTGAAACAGGAGGATGAGGTATGGCTGCAGATATTTTACTCAGAACAAAATGGGCTCTTTTATGATCCTTACTGGACAGACAGCTTATTTACTGGCTTCCTGATATATCCTGATCAAGATTATCTCAATGAAATATGAGAAACTAACCTGTGGGAAAAAAAAAACAACCAGGAAATGCATGAGACCTCAGTCCAGCAAAGTGTAGCCTGTACATGGACATGAGTGGAATTATCATACAATTCCACATTTTTGGTGCTAGCAACCTGTATTGGCTATTCAGATATTCACTTGATGGCATCAGCTGCTCCACAGGGTAACAGGACCAGCAGGACTCACCTTTCAGCAGCCTCATGGATCTCTCAGTCTCGAAGCCACCCAGTGTGTTTTCTCAGATTTCAGCCTCCATGTACCAGCACTGGAGTCCTGCATCTGGTTACTCTGCAACATGCCATGGACATGTAACTCACATACTGGTGCTGAATGCTTTATTATATTATTGTTATAAAGCCTGGAAACCAACAACCATTTCCTGAAGGCTGCGCTCAGAAGTGCCACTGATGTTAGAGACTGTATCACTGCACCTCCTCCCCCTACACCCTATAATAGTAATAAACCCTTTTAATACAGAGTTACACTTTACCAGCTACTTAAGAGTCAGGAAGTCGTCAGTTGAAGTTATAAAAGTAAGAGTAGCTCTCAGCCTCATCAAAGCAGCACTGATAAGCGAAGGCATCTGGTCTAAATAGGAAATGACACAAAAAAGCTCTCATTTTTAAGGTTAAAGGTAAGACTCCCCCTAAGACACAAGATGCTGCACTGGGCATCACTGCTGCTTCTCAGATTTCAGCCTCCATATACCAACACTGAAGTCCTGTGTCTGGTTTCAGACAGTCTTTGGTAAGCCGCAATCAGAATCTAAACTGGACTGTGCAATTCAGCTACCCATGGGCTTCTGAGCCACAGTGGATTATGGACTTTACAGATCAATTCTACTTTTACAAGTGAAAATATCTGCATGACTTTTGTGGACTACAGTAACTGTAGTTGCATTTAACTGTAACCGTGTTGTAGCTTACAAAAATCTTTTCAAGTACATTTTATAAAATAAAGCTGAACAAAAGTACTGCTGGAATAGTCTTGATGTTCATTAAAGTGGCTTCCCAGAAGGTATTTCAAAACTGTGTTACAGATTCCACAGACACTGTTGGGTTTAGGGATGGATTTTGTAGGTATCAGAGCAATGGGAATATTCCTCTCTCCAGCCCAGCAAGCTGGGGAATGCATAGCGTTTTCTGCTCTCTGTGTCAGAAACCTGCAAAGTGGAAGAATAGGATCTGTGCATTCCCCTAAAGCTGCTAACCCAGATGGCAAATGTCCTTTCCCTGACAGTGGTTGCTCAGATAATTTATTTCTCTTTCCAAAGTGCTCTCATTTCAGGCTTTCCTGGGCTGCATCTGCAGGCAGCTTCCCAAAGGCAGCAGCAGTTCAACAACTGTGTTTCTCTTTCATGCCAAGCCCCTCACTCCCACCTTGTCAGTCCAGTGAGGGCAAAACCCACTTTTTAGCTGGACTGAGGCGCACACAGGTTTCTGCCCAAACACAGGTCCCTCAGCAGCTGTACAACTCTAGGAGCAGCTCAAGGGAGGCGGTGGGACACGCAGGAGAATGTCGCATCTCTACAGCACCACCCAGTTGTGGTGCACCCAAAGGGGAAATGACATAGTACAGCTTTAATTAGTCACTGCTGCCAAAATACAGATCTTGCTTCTCTCCTCATTCTTCCCCCTTGATTCACTGCATTATCCATTCCCTGAAGTGAGTATTTTTGGGGGGAAGTAGGGGTGGGTTTTATTATTATTGTTTGGGTTTTTATTTGTGTTTTGAGTTAGTTCTCTACCGATTTTGAGCTGAACCCCCTTGGCACCAGGCAGATACCAGGGCTGGAAGAGCACCACAGGGGATAAGGCTGAGAAGAGGAGGGTGGAGAAGAAGCAGCAGTGAGCAATTAGATCAGCTCAGCCAGTCAGTCTTCCCTTATCTGCAGGGAAGGCCCCAGCAGGGAGCCTCTTCCTCCCAGTGTCAGCCTTCTCAGAGAGACACAAGCTGGTTTCCCCAGATGAGAAGCAAGAGACATTACTAACTGTCTGGCAGTGTCCTTTTTATTCTAGTGAAAAGGAAAACCTGTAAATGAGTCTTTGAAATCTGGTATATCAAAATACAAGTTATAAAGAAGCACAGCTCCCTGCTAGGAGCTCAGTGCCATCACACTTGCTTTCGGTGTGGGCGCTGCCAGGTCCTTCCACGGGAGCAGCACAGGCTGCTGGCCCCAGCCTCCTCCTGTCCCCCTGGGTCACAGTGCTGCCCTCTGTGCTGCACAGCTCAAACCTCAGCCCCAGGCACCTGCTGCCTCCAAGCAATGGGAAACCCAAACTAACAAATTAAAGCAGGCAAGAGGGAGTGGAACAGCTTCTACAGATTGTTTAACCTCCCATGGGGCTGAACACATTTACAGATACATCATGAGTATTTCTGTGAAAGAGGCATGAACGTTCGATGTGATACATGTGGGTTCTTGCACAGGTTGCTCTGGAAACAATGGATTTCATCTTACAATGCCATAAGAGCAACCTGAATGCTGAACAAAATGTCTCCACTCGGCCCAATCCTGCAAGAAGATTCATCTCAAGCAGTTCCCTTCATCCTGCCTCACCCAGGAGAGAAGGGAGGGATGGGTAGCTGGCAGGCTACAGTGTGCCTGGGTCACTACATGGTCAATCACTGAAATATTTAAGGGAGCGGGAATCCCACACAAAACTCAAAGTGACTGGCTCAGACTTGGGAGAATTTTAAAGCACCACATTCCAGCTTGCCTCTGCATCTTCAGGCTGCATTCTGGTTTGTGCTGCCATTATCCCCCAGCCAAGCAGTTACTTACTTTGTTTTAAACTGAAACTGAGATTTACATAAAGTATCTTTATTCCAGAAACATAAATTTCTGGAAATTCACCAAGTAATGAGTTGCGGTTTTCACAGCCAAGCTGCGCCTCAAGAGAGCACTGCTCCCACACAGGCTGCTCGCCTCAGCCCAGGCAGCTGCCTGCACCTCTGGCACAGCAGGAGAAGAGCTGGGAATGGTGATAGCTGGGCAAGCACATGGGCAGATGTCACCAGGAAGACAGGAGGAATGTCCACATCTGCCAGACCTTATGCTGCAGCATCCCCCTTTGCCATCAAGTGTCAGAACTGCCCTTTGCACCATGTTTTGGTACAAATGAGTCCCTCCAGGACATCCAACATGGCAGCACAGGGAGGCAAGGAAAGGCAAGGGCACCACCTCCAGTGTTCAATTTGCCACAGAGAAAAAGCTCAGCTGGTGTCTCATCAGAGACCAGGATGGACCCAGCTGTGAACACACATACCTGGCCAGGTCCCCTCCAAAGCAGAGGAGGGTTTCTCTACTAAAGAAGCTTGTCTTGACTCCCACAGAGCCTTCTCCATCCCACATCCACACCCACTTCCTTGCAGCACTACACTTCTTCCAGCTCAGGCACAACTCTGATTTCACGCTGCCTGAGCACTCTGCACAAACATCTGCAGAGTGGGAAGTGCTCAGCACTGGATGAACCCAAGGACAGCTCCTGCCTGGTGCAGCTTCTGACTGCTTAGCTCAAGCCACCCCACCCCCCCCCCCCCCCCCCCCCCCCCCCCCCGAGCCCTTTTCCATCCCTTCAGGGCTGGTCTGCACAAAAGGACCTCAAGGGTTTGGAGGTTTTTTAACCCTACATTTCAATGCTAGCAATGGAAAGAAAATAACAGAGATATTTCACTATGGAAAATTAACATTAACCATTGACATGGTGTACACAGTGTCTGGAAAGCAATGATGTGATGTCACAGCTGGAAGCTGTGCTGCCTAAGTAGCACCACTTCCCTGAGGACCATGCCCACATTATAATGTATAGCATCACACAGCCCTGGGGCTACATGGATGCTGGTGGCTCTCTGCACCATACCTACTGTCCCACCTCCTGGCAGTCCCTTTCCACTGCCAAGGGCTACTTCTGCACTTGAAACAAGACATATCCAACAGCAGAAACTGGAGTTACCTCAGGACAGTACAATCCCAAGAGACACAGCTCTCCATGCATTGCTGTAACCCCACATTCCTCTCTGCTCACAGCAGCTCTGTGCAGGAAAGGCCATGTCCCCCGGTGCTTGATATGCAGGTCAAGAAGCGAAAGCCTCTAACAAGGAGGGATATGTTCACGGAGATTCTGATTTACACATAAACCACTAGTTAAGAGAAGGAAGAAGGAAGTGAGTACTCAGAGCAGGAAGGAGCAGGGATGAGGGAATAATGTGGTTCAAGGGGAAATTCAGGGAGGGGGCTGGCTAGTGCCTCATGTTAGCTCTCAGGGACAAAGCTCAGATGTTTCAGGCTACTGGGCTGCAACAGGCTCATGAACATCCCCTGGGGCTCTCAGTGTTCCAAGGCAAGACCCAAACCACTCTGCATCAGCAGAGAGCTAGGAACTGTGACCATTTAAAAGTCTTTGAATAAAACAGGCTCTTTAAGCTACACAGAAGTGCAACAATATTTTATTAAAGCCTAAAATGCTATCTGTAATACTGCTCTTTTCTTGCACTGTCTCAGTCTTAGTCTGGCATGCCTACACACCCAACAGCAGCTCACTGGGGTTAAAGCCTTCATACCAGCCAGGCTTAATAATTAGTTTCCAAGGACAGTCCTTATCCAGTAGCATTGTCTAAATGAAAATAACAATTGTACATAGCTTGTTTCTACTAACAGCAAAGGAAAGCAGGTTGAAGCTCTCCAAAACCCATGAGTCCCATATAGAAGGTACAGCTCTACTCTCAACCCTGCCTTCATCCCTGCCATCTGTGGGAGGCGAGAACCCCCCTGCCTCTGATCAGCTTGGTAATGGTTCTGGACTAAGCCTAATCCAGCAAAGCGAGGGCACAGCTCACAGAATCCTCCCCTGCGTGTTTTTCTTACTAGTATATCAGGCCCTCCCTGCCCAGCCCCACCAGTGCTGACTCTTAGGAAGAACAGGACAAGCAGACTTACGCACAACTCCACAAATCACATAATTCCAGTTTAATGCTGCTGAAGAAAAGGCCCTTCTTACCTCTTGCTGCTCAAAGCTGCACCTCCTTGCTTTGCACTGATATCTCTCTCTAAACATAGCAGAAAACCAACCTAGGAGAAAAACTGGGTTCAGTAAGACAGACCATGTAACAAAAATGCACAAAAATAACAGAGGGTAATAGAAAGTATGGAAGAACACAGAGGAACAGAATTGAAGAAACTTCTCCTTCTTATCCACAAAAAAACTACTTCACTATGCAAGAGTACTCAAATCGGCTTAAATAATGCTCAAGCTGTTGCTGAGCACCATTTAGCTTTGGGGCCCTGGTGAAATGGGAGGCACCTGGGTAATAGCAAGTTGGGTTGCACAGCTGGGGGAGGAGAAGCAGTATCCCTGCGGGGTGCTGGGCCCTATGCTGGCATGAAGTGGTCCCTGTTTGCACCAACCTCCTTGTTGGGTGCCAAAGAAGTTTCTTTCTGCCTTTGGTAGCAGGTGGGGTAGAGGGGTGAATATATGCACCAGTGGCTTCTTGGAGTATACCCCTGATGTATACAGTCTCCCTTTCAGGTGTACAGGCATGAGCAGATGCTGCTTGTGTTACACCTGAGGCTTGACTAAAAAGCCCACTTTTCCTAACCAGGCTCAACTAAGAGTAGCCCAGCTCCTTGTTGAGACAGCAACAGCCTCTCTCTGTGCATGGGACTGTCTGTTCACCACTGCATTTCCACTGCATTGCTTCCTTAACTGACTGCCTGTGTCTTCTGACCCCTTCATGTTGGCCAGTAAGATAGGGGTTTGCCGTATGAGCCACTTAGGGTCACTTTGCAGTTGGTATTCTCTGCTGTTTTCAGACAGTTTTCCTGCCTAAAAGGAGTTTTATTGCCCCAGCACCCAGAATGGTAGCACTAGTGATAAAGATGTTAACTTGCTTAGTTAAACTGGTTTTTAAGGGAAAACATTGACAATTCTGTTAACTTACAAATTCAGCTTCACTGGTGAATTTCACTGACTC